TCTTATGGATCTTGCCTTCAGAGTACTTTTCCACCGATTCCAAACAATAAAATTTCGACCGGATAAAGACTGAGCTATCTGTCGCGACTGAAACTAATCAACAAATGCAATCAAAATGTAGCTGTTCCCACGGTTATCATCCCAAAGCCAAACCGTGTTAATAAACAAGAACAATTCCCTCAGATTTCGATAAATGCTACCGTCGAAGCGTTTAAATTCGCCAAACTCTAACGTTGAGAGCACATAATAGCGAAGCGTACGGCGACTGAATGGAAAGGAGTCAAAGAAAGACGAGCTCACATGGCCTGCTCCCATACTCACATGTTCGCCACATGTCTTATCACATGTCTTAGCATTAAACGGTACCAGTTTACTGGCCGTGACATGGCCCTGCAAAAATCAAGCGGGGTGGCCATTTTGATGTCCTTACAGGAATGTTGTTTTGTCGGCCGATAACCGTGCACAGGAAAGCCAACTCTGGAAAGCTAACTCTGGAAAGCCAACTCTGGAAAGCCAACTCTGGAAAGCCAACTCTGGAAAGCCAGAGGTCAAAATTAGGTTTGCGTTCCACTTCAGAGGGATTTGTTCCCAGTCCTTTTAGAGTCTCCCAAATAAGACTTCCGCCATGTCTGCCAACATGTCACGTGTCAGTGACTCAGCATTGCGAAAAAGGCCCAAAATAGCACGGGGCGTGAGAAAGGTTTATCATAAGGTGCCACGTAGGCACGAGCTCAGAACGATACTCGTAGCTGTGTTCCATAGGTTTTGTGAGCCTTGGTTCCTTGGTTGAAGGTACACGGGATGTCACACGTATTTATTCTCTGTCTTTGTTTACGGTAGTTCATTGTAGGGAGTGCACTGTGCATACTAACACGTTGGTCCTTGGCTTCTAGATTTTCAGAGAGAAACAAGCATTTAACAGCGCCAAACGAACGCACTCCGTTGCTGAAATCCGATGCAATGGCTTCTGAAACATATTTGGACAACAAGGTAAGAAGTAAAATTTTACTCAGCTGTGTCATGTATGAAAATAAATGCATTTAAGGAAGTTCAAGCCAGGTTTGCTTGAGTTCCCAATAGCGTTGCAATTTTAATACCGACTTTAGAACATTTTCGTGATCTAAGATGTCAGTCGGCATAAGTTCGCTTCACTAACGATTTATATTTCCGCTATGATCGTTTGTTCTATTCATGCGTGACTAGTTTACGCAATTAACAGCACATAAATTTCTTTTCTAATCTGATTTTCCCTTGAAATTTACGGCTATCTTTCGCTTACCGATTGATGAATAAAAATTCTAAGTTCGGATTCTTCCTCGACGCTTGCGTTCAGCTTGACAGACGTTTTAATCGGAGACAAATTGGTTCTCTCATTGACGGTTTTTTTCGCGCCCGCAAAATGAGAAGCATTCGCGATAGATTTCTAGGTCACGCAATTTCTCAACGCCAGGAAGTTCCCTCGTTCTGCCAAACGAGGCTGAAACTACACTTGAAAGTCTCTTTTTGTATAGTTGGTCGATATGTAGCTGGAAAATATAGCGTTCAGATCTGTTTATCTCGACTTTCAAATTCGAGGATACGAATGGGATTAAACTTTTGGACCCGGCTGTGGTCTTTCAGCAGGAAGTATACTAAGATACTGTTCTATGTACTCGTTTTTATCACGTGTTGTATTCGCCTTTCAACAGGCGTTTCAAGGTCGAATTTCTTTGCATTTCCTTGTATTCTCTGCTATGCTGTAAGAAGAAGACAAAACTATAAAACACAAACAAATAAACTATGAATTTTTAAGATGGACTAGGTCGCTTTGCCAATGACCGCGCCCTAAGCACAGTTTAAGCAAGAATTTTCAAATTTTTGATCGTGGATTTCCACCTAAAACAGAAAGCTCAATGAAGCTAAAACGGAATTTGCTTACGTGCAGAATTGTAGCAATGCTATTGTTCCAATACAAACAGAACCTTTAACTCATAACACTTGATAGCACTGAAGGAAGTTTACCCCGCTTAATTTACATGGATCGTCCGTCACGTTTACTACGAAGACTGAAGTTTCAATGTCAGTTTTATTAATATTTTACACTGTTGATTGCGTGTTCGAAATGCATTATAGTCAAGCTTACAATTTCACACAGTCTGAGCATTTTAATCACATTGAGGAAATTAAAATACGCGGAAACGGAAGTACATTGTACATAGATTTTCATTGTACTGTATAAAGAGGGAAGGGAACTTAACGATTTTTTTTTTTCCCATCCCCTTTATGTGTACAAATTTGGCGAAATAGTATTTTCTTTAGCACCAACCCTTCCTCTGAAGGGAAACACAAGTCGTCATCTGCTCCAGGGGTCCCTTCAGGTGTTAGTATTGCCCAAATTCCTTTATCACGTGATTGGAAATGGGAATCGTACGTGATAAACATGGCGGATTCAGGCAGACGGGAAGAGTCCATTCTTTTCGTCTGTAAACTGCGTCTCTGGCGATTATGATCTGAGAAATCCTATTGTTAGTCGTGCCGCTTCGGCGGAATCTTAACAAGAATTCGAGAGCTGCGGGTCTGGTCACCTCATCCCAGAAGTTTCATTGTCCACGATTTGGAGAAAAACGTGTTTGGGGTTGCTTAACTCAACTGGCCTGATTTAAAAGTTAACGTACAGCTATCACGATATCTTTCGTTCTACAAAATGGATCCACAGGTGAAGTTGAATTGTAAGATTGAAATGGCAATTTGCATAGGCTTTTGAAGTATTTTTTTCCATACGTAACTCGTATATTATATACTGCTTACTGTGTTAACAACGAGCGGTGACTTTAAGGGCCTTTGATATTTTTAAAAGCTCATTTGGATCACTTTGACCGAATCGAACTGCCATTACATTTTCATGGGGATCATTATTTGATCAAGAGTTGAGATTACCAAAACTTAATGTATAATTTGAATTAAAAAGGCACCAATAGTAGACTGATAGTTTTTATAGACTAACAAACAAACTTGTTTGACCGTAAAGATTTTGGTCCATTTATTTATCCAACTACTGAAGCATGCAAAGGCACGTTTCAAGACCTAATTTACATAAAGTTATTCTTATACCCATAAATTTTAGGGTGCATTCCTTTGGGGTGATCTGGATCAGGATCAGTGATCCAAGATCACTCGGATCATTGTGCATCACAGGAACCAACGAATCCACTCTGGTCTCGGATTCATCACTTCCTTTGATGAACCATGATCCGAGTGATCTTGGATCACTGATCCTGATCCAGATCACCCCAAAGGAATGCACCCTTAGGTTGCAATTATGAGATACATTTATGTTGAATGAATCCTGGAAGCCTGTAGAGATCTTTCAGTTTCTTTGGTCTAACTTAGAATAACTACTGTAATCTGACCACTTCCCCAGTGGGGCTTTTCAGAACCAATGGAAACAAACTGTAATGAAACAAATGAACATACATAATATATTAAAAATCCCAACTGGCTAGAGGCAGGACAGTTGGTTATTTATAACTGTAGCAAGGACTTGAACTCAGAACTACAATGTACCAAGAGCGACTTACACCAACTGGTGGCAAAAATGGGACTTGAACCTGTGACTTCCTGATTTCAAATCATGCCCTCTAACCTCTTGGCCATGTGACTTTCTGTTACAACAATCCAAAATTATAATTAGTATTTGCACTTCTTCTGAATGGTCATCTATGTCCTTACATCTTTCTGCAGTTCAAATTTAGGATCTACACCATCTGCGGGTATATTACAAGCTCACGATGTGACCAGCTCCCAGTTGGCTTGATAGCTCAGTTGGTAGAGCACCCACTCCAGTGCCTTATATTGCAGAGGCCATTACAGGCTTGTTGAAGCCTGGATTTTTTTCAGGCATTCTTTTCAGAACTACTTATTTAAGTTGTGTAACTGACTGCAATCAGCATTCATGTCTTTACATTTTTCTCTGCAGTTTGACAAATTTAAGATCTTTAATACATCTGAAAGACTGCACACTTAAGACTTCACACTTTTTATCTCTCAAAATTGAGTACAAGTATTTTCCTAATAAGCAACAGTACTTCCTCTTTACTGGCCTATTATGGATTTACCCAAGATTATTTAAAGCTCACACATATCTGATATGAAATTTCGACGTATTTACCTTGATGTAAATGAGTCTTGGATGTTCAAAATTCTGTTCTGCCTGCTGCCTTCTGTCCACATATTTCAAGGCTTGCAGGTCTTCTATTTTCAATTCCTTTTCCAAATATTTTTTTCGGTGTCAAGTCATGTGTAATTGTCAAGGTGTAGCTCAACTTTCCATGTACACATACATACACTTGGTCTTCTGTTCAGAGTTGAAAAGTTTGAAACCAAGCAGACCTGCAGATTTAAGGTTACAGTATACCTTCGCGTCGGCAATTTTCCACAAATTTGGATTTTTGGGTCAAAATAGTGGTCGAAGAATAATCTCTAATTTCTGAAAAAAAAATTTTGAA